TGGAACACCGGATGTAGACCTACAAGATTCGACGCGCAAAAAAATGTTTAGCGTGACATGGTTGTGTGTGTCGCTGCTGTGTGACCGTCACCGCCCGTCCCGCGTCCACCCATACCGCGTTGGTGTCCCAGTCGTTGGTCGGACTGTGTTTCGCCTTACTATCAAGATTCGACGCGCCAAAAGATGGGGGCACACATCACACAACATCCCTGGGTGGTGGCGGCGTGTGCCATCCTCCCCCCCATCCTTTCCTTTTTGGTTGCAAGTCTGTCTGTTTCTATACAAGACCGTGCTGCAAGGTGGGGACTCTGTCCTTGGGCGGAGGTAGGAAAAAATCTTCTGCAGATGCGTTATTATCTTATGACCGCGCAAGATAAAGGGTGGCTAAGGGCTCTGCCCGCAAGGCGCCCGCGTCGCAGACGCGGTACTCAGCTTCGTAACCCGTGAAAACAAAAGCAGGACCGTGGCTCCCAAATACGACAACGTCGGGGCAAGTTTGGTAAACGCCATAACATGGGCGATCCAGCGCTTCCTTCGATTGGACGGACGAAATGATCGGGGAAAAGCGCATCGCGACTTCGCGCCATCTCTGGGGTCACCATATGCCGGACCGGCATAAGACATACCGGCTTACGCTCACGCCTGCGACCGAGGCGGAGCTGCTGCGGCTGAAGGAGTGCGGAGAGAACAAGCAGCTGCTGTCCCGTTGCGCGCTGTGGTGCAGGAGCGGCGCCCTTGAGGCGATCATCGTGCTCCAGAAGAAGCGCTATCCGTACCAGGTGGGCCAAGCTGGTGAGTGGGGTGAATGCATCTTGCCGGGGCCGTGGCAGGCGATCGAGTTCGACGACGCTCAGTGGCGAGCAGTTGCCATGATGCAGGGCGCATGGGTCCGTGACTGGACGCAACGGGGCAGGCGCACTGACCTCACCGCACAGGCCGAGCCGCTTCTGCCTTCTCCCACCACTTCCCCCGCTTCAACCGCCGGATCAGCAGCAGCCGGATGATACGGTTCCTCTACCCGACCCAGCCGCGCTGCATCCCACACCGCAGCCGCCCCCGATGCCATGGGTGCCACGAGAAAGTTTTACGTGCGCCGGGCTCACCGACAAACCGCCAAGATTCTGGAGATCACTGGCCGATGCTATGCCCGCGCTGACGACACAGCCACGATTCAATGAGAGTGCCGAGGCACAGGCAGAACGGCTACAGCTGCCTCTCCTAGACCCACGCAACGCCGACCACGACAACCACAAGTGGTCAGCGCAGCCGCCGGTCAAACGCGTGTGCTATCAATCAATGCGGCCGTGCGAATGGAAGCAGACGTGGTACACTGATGCATTCCAGTGGGTTGAGTACAAAACTGAGCTGGTGCGCTTCTTACATGCACTGCGTTGCATTGTCGATGGTACCACCGAGTACCTGGACGTCGAGTTTGCGCCTGAGATGTGGCGCTTGAGGGGCGGCGGCGTCAACTGCTACCCGTGCAAAAACGCGCGGGCGCGAGAGGAGTTTGACGAAGACCCGTGTGAGCTATGCGGTGCCGGGATGGAGGAGCCGTGCCAAGAGCACTGTGTCATTCCAAGGGCCGCACGCAACTGGTGGACTGCGTACGAGGCAGAGCTGAGCGGACACAATGGCCGGCCTGGTGGAGCTCAGGCGGACTATCGGATTATTGGATTCCCCGCCGCGGCTGGTGCGTTGCACAGCGTACTCTACTGCGTGTGAAGCTGCTGCTGGCTCGCATGGTGCTCAACCGTGGCGACTCGCTGGCCATGCGATGCCTCATCCTCGCTGGCACGCCCCCTACTCCCAAGTTTGCGGACCAGCACAAACCGCCACTCCACCAACGACTGCTGCACTTCCGCGGTGTGATCCACTTCAGCAATTACGATGGTGCAGCAAAGATGCTGGAGAGCATGCAGACGTCGACGTTGTATCCTGAACGTCGCAATATGGACATCAGCGAGATTGCAGCCAAGTACGGGATAGCCTATGGCCCGCAGCCATTGCACTACATCATTGAGTCGAGCACGTTCAGCCGCAACTTGCTTGGTCACTCGCTCTCGCCATGCGACTTTAGCTACGATCCGATTGTGGGTGGCGAATTTACTGATCACCTCTGCCGACGCCAGGATGGCATGTTTGATCCGGGCGAAGTGGGTGACCACTCGCTGGCGCGTGGCGGGCACGGCTCTCTCTGGCGACACAAGTGGGGTGAGCCGCCGCCTGCGTGGCCCGAGACAGACACTAACCTACCTGCACCGTATCGTCCCACAGCAGAGAGGGTTGCGCGCGATGCTGCCCACACTCTCGAGCCAAATCTGCCCAAACCCGGAATTTGGGTCGAGGCAGATGCCGATGCTATTGAGCGTGCGCTTGTCAAGCGCCGAGCCACCGCGCAACGACCGCGCTTCTGCCACTGCTACTTCCGCGCGAGTTGCGATGGCTCGTGTGAGCCTAAGGATCCGTGTGAGGAGGATCGCAGGCTTGCAGAACTGAAAGCGTCGCACGACTGGCTCGCTGGGCTGGACGGTCCGGTACGTCTTCATGTCCGCTACTGCCACAGCACCAACCGCGTAGTTGGCTACGAAGGGTTTCAACACCGGAAGTTTAACTGGGACCTCGAGCCGGCGCAGACATTCCTAGGCAAGTGGGAATATGGCGACTACTTTGTGATGGACCATCATGCTGCAGAAGACATTTATCATCTCAGAGAGAACCTCGACTTTTTTCAGACGCCTTTGGATGCTGCACTGCGGGTAGTCGAGATGCGGGGCGACTACCAGCTTCCGACCGGATGGCGGTGGGACAGTGAGTGCGGTCCTGTGCCTCCACCATCGCCGCTGCCAACGCCACCGCCGCTGCCGCCACCGCCGCGTGTTGTCGCCGGCTACACACAGCTACCAGATGTGCACGCTAGCAACCCGACTGGCTCCTTTTCCATCTTCAGGCGCCCAGACGAGGGCACTGCCCTTTTGGGGCTTTTGGGGGTTAGAGATCATGTGCCCATAGCTGCCCTACTGCCCCGAGTCAACCGCTTTGAAGAGCTCCTGTCTTGGGCTGAGGAGCGCGCCGCTGCCAACGGCATCACTCTGCCCTACCAGCAGCCCGGGTTCAAGCCTGAATCAGTGATGCCGCCGGTTCGCACCCCGGCCGCCGCCGCTAGCTCGGCCGCCGCCGCTAGCTCCAGCTCAGATGATCCTCTAGATCTCCCCCCTCTAACCGCTGATGGGCCGGTGTCGATGCAGCTTGCTGAGCCTGAAGGCGAGGAGGAGCTTAGCTTTATGGACTCGGTGTTCTGTGACCCCCGCCTGAGGACGGTGACTGACTTCTAGCTGTGTGTATCGCGCGCCTTGCGGGGCAGTCGCGATGTGTGCGTTAATACCGCGCAAAAGGGCTCTACCCGCGCAGATGCAGTTACTCTGCCGCGGTTCCCCCTTTTGCGCAGCAACACCTTAAACTTTTCAGGCCCTCCAAATTCGGGTCGGAGCGTAGCGGAGTGGGCCCCGAGTTTGAAAAGGGCGACGGACGCTTGCGTCCTAGCCTCCAACAACGCCTCCCCGGCGCAGAGGGCCCCCCGGAGGGATGCACAACCGACCCACGCCACGCCGCTTGCGGCGGTCCTCTTCCCAGCTCCGCTGAGGGCCCGTGCGTTATTAAGGTGGTAGCAATCTCTTGCCGCGAAAGTTTTGCGCCAGTCGACGTTCCGCGCTCTCTGTCGCGCCTGAGCTCGCCCTTGGCGCCCGAGGCTACCCGGGACCGACAGACAGCATCAATGGACGCGCTAGATGTGCTGTGACCGGCGCGTCTCTCTTGACCGGCACGAGCAGTGCTGTGTGCGGCGCTCGCCACCCTGGCGATTGTGCTGGACGGCGGACGGCGCGGTTGCTCAGATGGCCTTATGACGACCCCATTTCGACATCGTTCCCAAGACCTCTACTCATGAGCTCCATGCGGGAATGATTGGCTCAACCAACTGATCACAAATTCTCTCTGCAACATCAGAGTCGTCGAATTATGCTGTCACGAGGGAGAATTTTGGCGCTTTGTGAGATATCGTGGGAATTTGTGATCAGTTGGTTGAGCCAGTCATTCCCGCGTGGAGCTCATGAGTAGAGGCCTTGGGAACGATGTCAAAATGGGGTCGTCATAAGGCCATCTCAGTGGCTTCACGGCCTGCCACGGCGTGTGTGCCGCGGCTCTGGACGACTCTGAACTGGCGCTTGATGCGGGCATAACTTGCGATCCCGACCTTGCGCGACGTGCCTATTAGTGCATTCTACCATCTACTCGCACATGGCAAGCATGGGCGACGCCTCAGGCCCCATGCCGGCCATCCAAGATATGCGTGCGCCAAGGGTTTGCTAACACCTTAACATTACCGACACCGCGTGCCCGCCGCGCCACGCTGGCAATCCCCATGAAGAACCTTGCGTTTTTCGTGATTTGGATTTGCCTCGCGTCCCTCGCGGCTGGCTTCGGTGCCTCGGGAAGCTGGGGAAGCTGTGCCGCAGAATATCGGCCTTTCCATTGCTCGGTTTTCCGCAACGATTGCCGCGAGGGAACGAAAGCGACTGGATATCTTGACCCTCCCGACGGATGCAGGTGCTGGTGCTGCTGGGATACCGACGGCAACTTCTGTGGTCGGGACGACTAAGTCCGGCGGTACGTCAGCGACACGTACACGTTCGCTGCTGCGCCGTCGACCCCCTCGGATGCGGGGCTCTTGCGGGAGAGCACGCTGCCGCTGCGCGCGCACGCGTGGGATTGTCATGGGAGTGAGGTTGGGGGCACGGGGCGGGGATGTAGGATGACGGGCAGCAGGGTCTCATCAGGCCAACCGCGAGGGCCAGTACACGGATGTGCGAAGGCGAGGCGGATGCCGTTTGCTGTACCTGCGCTGAGCCGCTACGCCATTCACCCTTGTGGGGACCCGCTGGCCAGCTGGGTGAAAACCCAAGGGTGAAGCCTGGAAGCCCTCGCCAGCGCATACCCGCGTATAACATACGTGCCTCCAACACATAAAATCTGCCGGCCGCCGACGCTCGCAGCTCACAGCTCACAGAATTCCGCCGTTGCTCAGGCAAGTCGAGAGCTCGTAGGCGGCGACAGCGGCGCCGTTGAGCGCCGACGCCGCCCGCCTCACGCAGGAGCCCATCTCGGCGCCAAGCGCAGCGAGCGGGTCCTCCTCCGCCTGCTCGCCGCCGCTGAGAAGGCCGTTGACCTCCTCTAGGAGGCTTGCGAGGAGGTGGCCGCGGCGCCTCGCCCACTCCTCCGGCTGCCTCACCGCCGAGCTCAGCGCACGAGTCCACACGAAGGCGACGTACCTGCTCACGTCAGAGCTCGACATCAGCGTGAAAACCGTGCAGAGTGGCCACCCTCGAGGGCCGCCACACCGGAGGGCCAGCCGGCACACGCGCCACGGCGACTTGACAAGGCACCGGCCGAGCAGCTTCGTGACGTCGCGCGTCAGCGGCGCCAGGCACTCCTTGAGCGGCGGCGGCGCGCCGGCGGGCGCGACGCCGAGGCCCGAGAGGCAGAGCGACGAGCCCCAGTGCACGATGGGCGCGCGCGAGCGTCCCCACTCGTCGAGGTGCAGCGCCGCCGCGGCGAGCGCGTCGAAGACGGAGACGCCATCCTCCTCGGCCGACCACGCCGAGACGGCGACCGTCTCTCTCAGCTGCGCCGCCAGGTTCCGAACGTCGGTGCTCACGAGCTTGGCCGCGCTCTCTGCCCAGACCGGTGCGCTGCGCAGGTGGCTGGCGACGTGGCTGTGGCTCTCGAGACCCTCACTCATGGTGCCCATTGCAGCAGCGCGCGAGCCAAGCCTAGCGATGCCGAGGGTGAGCGCCGAGGCGGCGCCGGCGGCGATGAAGAGCAGCAGGAGTCGTAGGAGGAACGGATCAAAGGACACCGCCGTGCGGTGACGGTGCGTCCTCGTGGTGCGAACAATGACGATGGAGGCGCGTCGCGTGAGGTTCTCGCGTCTGACGCTGACACGCGGCAGCCGCGTCCACGACGCTGGTGAGTCGGCCAGTGCCTCCGATTCGGTCTCGATGTGAACCCCGAGCCGGTGCCAGTGCGTCCTCATGACCGCCGGCTCGCTTTTTGTTTTGCGTAGCGCCGGGCTCGCTTGCCGCTGATCTGCGTTCGAGAGCGACGGCGGCGACGTGTGCCGCCGTCGAGGCGCGCTCTTCCTGGCGGCGCACATGCTGTGCATGTGGGTGTTATTTTGTGTTTCGTGAAAGAGAAAAAAACCCGGGACGGCGCGCCGCGACCAAAAGGGATTTTAATCTGGGTCCACCTGGGGCGACCGACGTATTTTCTTCTCAATAACAAGGTCTGTGAACCTCAACCTCTCACAGTGTCACAGTGAACCTCAACCTCTCAGAAGAAAGAAAGAAGGAAAATCAGACCATCCAACGAGGGATGGGGGAGGAGGACAGGGTCCACACCTGCACGAGCAGGATTTTGGAAGGACGATCAGGGGCACAGGTGGGGCTCTCCTGCTCCTGACAAGGGACACGACAGGCCGTCGCAGCGCGGTGCACGGTGGACTCCCAACTCAACTGGCGGTCTCATCTCAGTCTAGCGACCTGCCTCCAGCTTCTCTGTTCTCACTGGCAGTCTCTCGCAACCTCAACCTCTCAGACACAGTGTCACAGACAAGAGAGGAGGTATTTCCTTCTCAATAACAAGGCCTGTGAAAAACGTCGACCCGCTAAATAGCTAGAGGCCAACAACATACCTAAAATCTCTTCGCGCAGCGGGACGGCGGGCGGGACTGCAGGTGTAAATCACGTCCCCTCCGTCCACCTCCGCCGGTCTCTCTCTTTATCAGTGCTAAGTTCCGGTGGCGCTCGATGACTCTTAGTCTCTTACTGGCTCTGGCTGCGCCACCCTCGCACCGCGCCTCACAATAGCACAGACGCCGTTGCCTCCACACCAGACGGCCATCACGTCTGGGTCAACAGCCGATCGGACGCACGCTCTACCGCTCCGATGACGGCCTCACATGGCAGCCGCACTTGGCCGCCCTGCATTGTGCCCTCTTGTCACCACTCGTGCCTCGCTCGTTATTTTCAGTGTCGTCACTTTTCTGTTAGTGCCTGTGCGCGCCAATCCCGTGTGCCCAGTGTCGTGCCTTTTCTGTGTTAGTGCCAGTGCTCGCCAGCAGCTGTCGCCAGTCCCGTCGCTACATTTATTGTCAGTTTTTCTCGTGTTTCAAGTGCTCAAGGAGATACACACTCGGCGGCACGAGGGTGTTAGTGCCAGCGCGCGCCATTCCCGTCCGCGTCAAATTCTTTTCTGAGACAACAGGGTTTCGGCTCCTAGCCGGATAGGGGGTCTGTCGCCACTGACTCGCGCCAAAACGCCCTACCTACCTACCTATCCTATCCCCAGCGCCCAGGCCGCGCAGCGAAGCGAAAAAAGCTGAAAATAGGGGGTACCTACCTATTGCAGGGCCCTTTTGGGCGAAACAAGACCAACCTACCTACCTATCTGGGAGGCACCAGACCCCCTATCCGGCTAGGAGCCGGAACCCAGGGTCAACCAGAGTCGGCGCGGTGTCTGAGCCGCGCCACTCGACACACAAGGGCTCCACCCCACTGATCCCGACCATGCGAGCCGGCATCCTCGTGCCGCCGCAAAACTTTGGCCTCGTCGAGGACGGCCTCTACCGCTCGGGGCAGCCGACTGAGCTATCGTATCCGTTTCTTGAGCAGCTGCAGCTGCGCACGATCCTGCATCTAAGCGCTGACGAGCCGCCCGCGGAGTTTGCGTCCTGGGCGAGCGAGCAGCGCATTCAGCTGGTGCGGCTAGGCGCCGGCGCCGACGCCAACATGCTCTCGCCGTGGAAGCCGGTCTCGGAGGTGAGCGCCCTCGCCGTGACGCCGTCACTGCTCGCCGCTGCCACGACCACCAGCGCCGCGCTCGCCACCGGTGCGGACTCCTGCCACTCTTTCGAGTAGGAGGTCGTCGTCGAGGGGTTGCGTCGCGTGCTCGACCCGTCGTCGTACCCGCTGCTGGTGATGTGCAACCTCGGCCGCCACCGCACCGGAACGCTCATCGGCTGCCTCCGGAAGCTGCAGTGCTGGTCGCTGACGAGCGTCCTCGAGGAGTACCGCCGGCACGCGTGCGCAAAGTCGCGCCACCTCAACGAGCAGTTCATCGAGCTCTTTGACATCGACCTCGTGCGCGTCCCGGAGCACAGCCCGCCGCAGCTCCACCTGCAGGCGGAGCGGGGCAAGCCGGCGGGGTAGGCGTCGTGCGGGATCAATATCATTCTTTATCGCGCCAGTCCCGTGCCCAATGTCGTGCGAAGCCTGTAAAATTCTTTATCCCGCTTCTTTATGACTTATCGCTAAGATTCTTTATCCCGCCATCCCGCCAAGAACTGTCGCCAGCATGTCGTTGCCGTCAGCTAAGGCCGCCGGAGCAGCAGCTCGCGACGCTGTTGCCACGCCTTCGCCCGGCTCTCTCGACGCGAGCCTGATGCCTTTCCAGCGGGAGGGCGTGCGCCGCATCCTGGCGTGGGACGGGCGCGCCCTACTCGGCGACGAGATGGGTCTTGGCAAGACGCTGCAGGCCATCGCGGTCGCTCGGCACTACCGGCGAGAGTGGCCGCTGCTCGTTCTCTGCCCGACGTCCATGGCTCACACGTGGGCGGACGAGCTGGAGCGCTGGTGTCCCGAGCTCGTTCCCGGCCAGATCAACCTCATCAAGAGCCACCACAACGGCGCGCTCTCCTCCGCCGCCGTCACCATCCTTACCTACGGGCTCGTCACCAACGGCAAGGAGAAGGAGCGGCTCGTCGCGAACGTGATGGCCGCCGGCTTTGCGGTTGTGATCGTCGACGAGGCGCACTACCTCAAGACGCGCGACTCTGTGCGCACGAAGCTCATCCTCCCCCTTCTCGCGGCGGCGCAGCGCTGCGTCATGCTCACCGGCACGCCCGCGCTCAACCGGCCTGTCGAGCTGTACCCGCTGCTCAGCACGCTGCGGCCGCAGCAGCCGGCGTGGCGCACGTACAGCGCCTTCGTGCAGCGCTACTGCGCCGCGAAGCCAACCTTCTTCGGCGGCCGGCGCGGGCTCGACGTGAGCGGCTCGTCGAACGAGGCCGAACTGTACGCGCTGCTCTGCGAGACGCTGATGGTGCGGCGGCTCAAGGCCGAGGTCCTCGACGAGCTGCCTCCGAAGCAGAGGCAGCGCGTGCTCGTCTCGCTCCCGCCGCAGGCGCGGCTCGCACGCCTCACGAACGAGTCAATCGGCGAACCGCTCACCCTTGCACCCTCCGCACCCCCCAGGCGACGCTCGCGCTCGACGCCATCACCCGAGAGGCGGACCAGCTACCGAGCGGGCAGTCGTTCGAGCGGCGGAGCCTAATCTGCGTCGTCATAAGGCCATCTGAGCAACCGCGCCGTCCGCCGTCCAGCACAATCGCCAGGGTGGCGAGCGCCGCACACAGCACTGCTCGTGCCGGTCAAGAGAGACGCGCCGGTCACAGCACATCTAGCGCGTCCATTGATGCTGTCTGTCGGTCCCGGGTAGCCTCGGGCGCCAAGGGCGAGCTCAGGCGCGACAGAGAGCGCGGAACGTCGACTGGCGCAAAACTTTCGCGGCAAGAGATTGCTACCACCTTAAT